GTTTCCCTGCATTCAAAATGCCACGGGCTCATCATACGCCTACTGATTTAAGGAAAGCTACCTGTTCGTTTCCTCTTTGACCGTGCAGCCTTCGTAAGACAGAGTTTGGTACTGTTCCTTGACTCACTAGCTTCTGTACAACTCCTCAGAAGCTTAGGCTGATTCTTGTAAATATAAACTCAATTTAGGGTCCTCATAAGTGGGTAAGAAATCAAATGCATTTATATTTTCAGTTTCTAGTGCACTGTGTTCAGAGTCTTCACTGCATTGGCATAGTATATATCCAGGTCAGATTTTCAGCATTTGGAGACAAATGTGTTATTTGAACTTAAAGTATTGCAATTACAATGATTTAACATAAAGGTAACTTGAGTACTCGTCCATAAAATACAATTAGTTGATTTCTGTGGAGGCATTGATTGATTTCTAGATGCTGTTCCTAAAATTAGAAATATTTGGTACCTTATGCAAATGTATTGTAATAGACAATGAGGTAAAGTGTGGTAAGAATAACACAGATGCCTGCTTTGGCTAAACCACCTCAGATTCTTCACCTGTGGAATGATTTCATTATTATTGGTGATCAGTGTAATTAACAGAGTTGCCACAATCAAACATAAGGGGAATTGTTGCATTCATATTTTACATGATAAGAGTTTAATATTTTTTATTAACATACACTTTTGAATGGGATCACTCATCATCATTTAAGTGCAGTGTCACTGCTACTGAAAAGACATTCCGGCTGATTGTTCACCCACTTATAGAAGAGGTTTGATTTTTTTTTTTAACCAAAATTCCACACTTTATAAAAATAGTAGATAAAGCTCTGACTTTCCTTTCTGAATCCTTTGGGTCCAGGGCAATGATATGCCTTCTCCCGAGCTCAAGTCCAAACTCGGGTGTCCCAAAGTGTATGGGCTAGCTTCTACCCCCTGGGCTATGAGCACTTTTTTCAAGACATCCAGCATTTTGAGTCTCAGCCAGTGGGCAGAGCCAATGGGTACTGTGCAGCCGTAGCTGACGGCTCTGGACCAGGGTTTTGAAGATAGCATTGAGGTGGACAGGCGAAAATAATTCCAGCTGTTTCCCTTGGAGAGAACAAGTGAGAACCTGGACATGCCAGCTCCCTGACAGGAAGCAGAAATCTTTGTGGAGAGCTGTCAGCCCAGCGGTCCTGTCCAGACCATAATACTGCCAGAGGATGTGGAGTTATAGGAAACAGACTCCAGAAAACCTCTTTCTCAGGCTTTCTGCTGTCATCCTTGGCCTTCGCATCACCCTGGCATCAGGCTGCCCGAGCTGCCCTGTTTAGAAGATGCCTGGGGCCTCCTAAGCCAATGTCATCCTTCAGTTCCAATTTGCAGCAGAATCACTGCTTGTCCATTTGGCCTCGCTTGTATATTCCCCGTGTGTTGTCCTGGCCAATTTCCGCCATCAGTAAAGTCCTTTTCATCAAGCCATAAATCTAATAGAGGGAACAAACACACAAAACAAACCCACAGTTTAAGTTCATGAATTTGTGTCGGATGGGAGAGAAGGGAAGGAAAGTTGATTCCAATTCGGAAAACATTGAAATTCACTAGACATTTGTTGATTGACTTGTGTGTTTTGCCCTGTGCTAGCAGCTCGGGAGGCTGCAGTTGTCCCTTCTTTCAGGAGCAATACTCTTGGGTTAAGTAGTCTTCTTTTCTAAAGTAAAACTGACTTCCACTGTAAGGGGAGACATTTCTGGACTTGCCACTTAGCTGTCCTTGGGTGTGTAGAGTGGGGGCTAAGCGGGGGTTGGGTGGGGGGGAGCATTGATGTCTTTCTTAGTGACTCATTTGATGATTATTCCATTGTTTGAAGGGCTGAATGTTACATAATCAACACTTTATCCTCCCCTCCCCCATCATTCTCCCTAACAATCTGGGATTTTCCATCATTTTGTCAACCTTCCTGGAGGCATGTTGATTTTTCCACTAGATTTTTTTGGGCATGTCCCAGGGCAACCCAAACTCTCCACTCCCTAGAACTTCAGATTCCTGCTCGTTGGCAGGGCCTGGGAGAGCAGCTGCAGTGAACCCTCTGCGCTTCCAGGGCAGAAGGTGGATTCTAAGCAGTTTTCTGACAGCATCACTCAAAGCAAACCGGAGGGAGAGTGCTGCCTGCCCTCCTTTCTTGTAATGTAATTTCCATTCATTTTGACTTTCAGAAGCAATATGTTTGCTCCTTTTTTTCAGAGGTCACCGATTGTCATCTTTTCCCTCATGTGTTTCCATTTTATTCAGCCAATAACACATTACATATGTCCATGGAATTTTTGGCTAGTCAGGGTTTAGAGGTGGCTAGTTGAGGAACTTCTACCAGAACCACGCCTGGAACTTAGCCATTTTATAAGTCAGTTTCATGTGATACACTGAAGATACAAGGTGAGGAAGAGGGCTTCTGGAAATGACTGTGGTAAAGTATATCACAGGATGGCTAGGAGGAATTCTCAGCTGGATTCTTTGTGTATTAATTGTTTCATGGGAAATTGTGCCTGAGGTGAATTCAGAGGATTTTGAACTTGAGCCATATTTGTGTACCTTTGCTTTGAATATGGTCTGCAAGTACAAGAAGAATTGGACATGGCAGAGATACAGCTATATATGGGTATAGCAAAGGATGATGCATTTGTGAATCTGCAGATTTGGATACCTCATTCTTCTTTACTACCCATGTAAAACAAGTTTTATAGATATTACCTCCTATACGCACTTCAAATTTGTTTCCTTATACCGTCTGCATTGCCACCTTCCTAGTCAAAGCCACCATCATTGCTCACTGCAACTAATGAAGTACTTTTTTAACAAGTCTATGCACATCCATTCAGAGTTACTTACCCTCTAAACAGCAGCTAAGGTAATCTTCCCTCCCGCCCCCTTCTTTTTTTACTGTGGTAAAGCAGACAGAACAAAATTTACCGTCTTAACCATTTTTAAATGTACAGTTATGTGATATTAAATACATGCATAATGTTCTACAGCCATCACCACCATCCATCTCTAGAACCCTTTTCATCTTGTAAAACTGAAACTCTTCCTGTTAAACACCAACCACCCATTCCCTTCCTTCCTCCCGGCCCTGGCAACTACCATTCTATGTTCTATGTCTATGAATTTGACTATTCTAAGTATATTCATATAATATGTCTTTTTATGACTCGCTTATTTCACTTAGCAAAATGTGAAGGTTCATTCATGTTACGGTATATGTCAGAATTTCCTTCCTTTTTAAGGCTGAATGATACTGCATTGTACGTATATGCTACATTTTGTTTATCCATTCACCCGTTGATGGACACTTGGGTTGCCTCCACATTATACATATTGTGAATAATGCTGCTATGAACATAGGCATACAAATATCCCTTCGAGACCCTGCTTTCAACTCTTCTGGGTATATAGAGAACTCCTAAAACTCAACACCAACAAAAAGCAAACCAACAACTCTATTAAGAAATGAACAAAGTTCTTGAATAGACATTTCTCCAAAGAAGATACACACATGGCTAATATGCACATGGAAAGATGTTTAACATCATTAATCATTAGGAAATACAAATCAAAACTATAGTGTGATACCAATTCATATCCATTAGGATGGCTACTATCCAAAAGAACAGAAAGTAATAAGTGTTGACAAGGGTGTGGAACACATGTGCACTGTTGGTGGGAATATGAAATCGTGCAGCCACTTTGAGGAAAACAGTATGGCAGTTTCTTGAAAAAATTTAAAATAGAATTACCATAAGGTGATCTTAAAACAAAATGTAGTCCTGTCATTCCTCTGCATAAAACTCTCAATGACTCTCTAGTCTCCTTAGGTTAAAATTATAAATTTCTTAATATATTCCTTGTTTACTTTTTCAACCTTATCTCAAGCGGCTGTCATTCTGCTTCCACTGCATTGATTTTTTTTTGATACTAAAACAGGCCGTTTTCCCTCCTCCCCCCATCATATGACCTTCATTTATGCTATCCCCTTTATCTAGGACCATGGTCCTCTAGCTTTAGTGATCATCAGGGTCACCTGGATTCTGTGTTACAAACACAGATTTCTGGGATTCACACCCCGCAGAGGTTCTGACTTGGGAGGCGTGGAGAGGGGCTGAGAACTTGCATTTCCACTGATTTCCAGGTGCTGCTGATGCAGCTGGTCTGAGGACGATACTTTGAGAACCACTGGTCTAGAGGATTTTTCTTTTTTAAACTCCTATGTATCCTTTAGATCTGAAGTCAAACTTCAGATCTAAATCTAAATCTCTCTTCTAAGGGAGGCCTTCTCTGATTTCTCCAGACCAGCAGCAATTCCCGTTGTATGTTAACATTTCATCTTCCTCTTCTCGTGAGAAGCCCTTATTGACGCTTTTGAATGTTTAATTGTGTAAATAGTTTTTTAATGACTGTTATCTCCTGCCAGAATCTGATATTCAGCTCCATGAGGGTAGGGGTCACTTCTGTCTTGTTCACATCTGTCTCTCTAATTCTTTGCACATAGCAAGTGCTAAATAATTATTTGTTGAAAGAATGACTATTGTTATTTTTTATAGGTAATTGGTAAATAGTAACATTAATACTCTCAGTGAATGTGAAGGATAAGTAGAGACTATGGGTAAATTAGTAGTTATACAGAAAGAATGAACATATTTTGTTTGTCCGGAATGTAGGACATTCTAGACAAGCGTCAGATTATTTTTGTTGTTGTTTTTAAGGGGACTAGCACACTCTGGAAAGCCCCCCAAATTTACCTGCCCTGGTGAGGATGTTAGTACAGTTATTTCTCAGCTTGCCTTCTTCAGATCATTCATGCCCTATTATGTTTTATGGGTGGTTAACTACCTATTTATTTTTTAATTGAGATTTAATTGACTGTATAGAGTTAATTTTAGGTGTACAACATGGTTTGGTATTTGTATATATCGCAGAATGATCCATCACCTATTTATTTTTTATTCATTTGTTTTATTCTCACAGATATGGAATGTGCAGATGTCCCACTATTAACTCCAAGCAGCAAAGAAATGATGTCTCAAGCACTGAAAGCTACTTTCAGTGGTTTCTCGAAAGAGCAGCAAAGACTGGGAATTCCAAAAGGTATGTTTTGTCCCTGGGAAAGAGAAGATAGGATCAGACATTTAGGTAAGATTGGTTTTCTCACCTGTAGGTGTAAGATAGACATTATTACTAACCACACTTCAATCAGCAGCTACAGGTCATTGCACATGTCTGTTAGAATGATCGTAGACAGGTGCTAATGCTTCTCCATCTCCCAGGTTTGTCACTGCCACCTTGGTCTTAGGGCAGTGGTTCCCGAACTGGTTTGCACATTAGATTTGGGGTCTTAAAAAAATCCCTTATCCTAGGCCATGTCCCAGACCAATTAAGTCACCATTGCTGGTAACAGTATCTTTGAAGCTTCTCAGGTGATTCCAAAGTATAGACAGTTTTGAAGAAACATGGTCTTAGAATCGTTTGGGGCTGCCATTTGATGAATCCAGTGAGCTCCATTTCTTGGAATTTACTGATTGCTCTTTTTTCCGTGTACTTTGGTGAAATGTGTTTATTCTTGGGTGTTCTCGTCTCAGAGGGTTTATTCAAGAATGAAAGGGGACCAGCGTTGTCAGAAAGGAGAAACGACTGGAGAACAGTTCAGCTTTCACCAAGCGATATTTTCTGAATAGTTGAGATCAGAAAGAACACTGTGCTATTGAGTAAGAGTGATGCTGTCTTTGGACCAGCCATGAGAGGCGTCTAGCCCTGTCGGAACCAAGCCTGTGAATGTATCTGCATAACTTTCCCCAAGTATACTTCTCTACTGCAAACCTCCACTGGTAGCAATACCCAGCATCCTTTTAGGATCACAAGGCAGGATAAAATGAATTCTGACCAATATCTCATAAAGTCACCTGCTAGTTTGAAGGGGGTAACTCTGAGAGCAGGTGTGTTGTGGGCACCACAGCCTGCCTTCATTTGAGCTTTTTAACTGTCATGGCTGGAGTAGCCATGTTAAACCATGTGTGAAGTGTCTGTCCTATGGTGCTAATCAGTGCAGGGCCTGTGATAACATATGTACTTGGCAAGGTATCAGGTATAATACAGGCACCTAATAATGTTGTTTTTTACTATGCAATATTTGACTGACTTACTGTTACTAATTGCTGTGATTATCACCAACCATAATTAGCTAAGATAAAAATAATTCAGAATAATGGTCTCAAGGAGATTATAAGAGGTAAGGAAGAGGTGAGTGCAATCTCCAGAACACACCTGACTTTGTTATTATTCCTGTTAAAGAAGTCACTTGTTTCTTAGCCTAGGCTTAAAAAAAAAAACATCTAATGGGAATAAGGCAGCGAGAGAGGAGAGTCGTGACATCTTTGTCTGAATGGCGGGTAGAGGATACTAATGTGTGTTACTCTTTGGCTGTTGATAGTGATCTCCTAGCTGGCGAGCAGAGAAGGTGGGGATGGTAAATGTGGGGAGGAGAAAGAAGCCCTACGACATGCATTTACAGTCTGGTGCTTCCCAGTTCTATAAAGCAGAGAACGTCCTCAGCTAAGTTCAGATCCTTTAGTGTCCTCTCTGAGGCTCGAGTGAGAATTCAGAGCCTGACTTGCTGGATCTTCATTTGATCTTTTCCCTCAGACCCCCGGCAGTGGACAGAAACCCATGTTCGGGACTGGGTGATGTGGGCTGTGAATGAGTTCAGCCTGAAGGGCGTGGACTTCCAGAAGTTCTGTATGAATGGAGCAGCTCTCTGTGCACTGGGGAAAGACTGCTTTCTCGAGCTGGCCCCAGACTTCGTTGGGGACATCTTATGGGAACATCTCGAGATCCTGCAGAAAGGTAAATGTGTGGGGATAGAGTGAGGTGGAAGCTGTGTGGGGTAGCTGTGAGAGTAGGTAGGGGACATCGATGCCATTATCTGGGGGTGTCCTATCACAGCATATATAGTCTAATGGGACATGCCAGTACAGTGCCTGACATACAGCAGGTGCTCACTAAATGTTAGTTTCTTTTTCTTCTATGCATTGAAGGTTCAGATTTTAATCTTTAGCAAGATTGTACTCCTGAAGCTTCTTGGTATGCAGGATTCTAATCCCAACCCTTCACTTAGAGTCACACACTGTTACAACGAGCAGTGCAGTGCCCACAGCCAGCTGCAAGAATTTTTTTTTCCTGGTAATCTTAAGGCACACTCCCATGATTCAGGGCAGCGTGGTACCTGGCCATTTCTACCGGGAAGTTTCGTTTCTCAGAGCTTGTTAATAAGACAGGCTTCTTAGCCTACTGGCTGGATTGGAATTGCAGTAGTGTGGCGGTATACCTTTTTCGTCTAGAGCAGAAGCTGGGGTTATGTCAGGACGCTGTGTTGCAACCTTGTAATGACATGGCCTCCCCTACCAGCCTCTTCCAACCTTTTTGGACCAAGTGACTCATGTACCACAGTCCTGGCTGAGTATAGAAACAGCAGCAGGCGGCAAACTTGGGTGTTTTTGCACTTATTTTTCTAAATTTCTTCTTAAAATAAATTGCAGTTACCAGCAGTCAGCAGTGCCCTCCAGCTGACTGTAAGCCTAGAAGCCTGTTGCCCTCTCTGACCCAGGCCCACCCTTTCTCTGTGGTCACCAGCTCCAACCCTTGGCGCAGACGCTGGGGGCAGGGAGCAAAGCTCAGGATTAGCATTTTTATTCCATATAATACCTTCCTTTGTTTAAGGATATTTTCCACTCTGCAGTGCTCAAGAGGGGCCCAAATTAGATTCCTCTGGGCACAGAAGTATTATCTTTCTTCCTTCTCTTGGGCTTCTGCTGAAAAATAAATAAATAAACACAGTCAAGAACGAGGTGACTCTTGCTGTGGCCGCTCCGGCCAGGGACTTCTCCGATGCACCCACTACACTATTCACCGTGTAACTGCACTCATAACTGCACTCAACCCACTCATATGTGTTGGCGTGAGCAACCCGTGTACAGAGCGAGAAGATATGGCAGGTTCAGAACAGGTCTGGTGTGACGGTTGGCTGATAAACACAACAGTGGGTCCTACTAGACTGTGTAACCCCAATATCTTCTACTGATACACCATTTCCCTCTATTTATCACCATGGAGTGGCAGGGGGTCTGGAGTGTCAAAGCCCGCCTCTGATCATACTTATAAGTAATATCTATATAGCATCTGCTTGTTTTAAAAGTGCTTTAAAATTCATTATCTCTTTGGATTCTCACGAGAGTCTGCAAGATAGGATGGGCATGCACTGCTAGTGTCCCCGTATGTAAAGTGAGGACGGCTTAGGTGGTTTCCTCAACATCACTCATTTCCTTAAACCCAGGCCTTTTCAATTTAACTTCCTGCCCTGTGTTCTTTGTGCGATAAATATGGACTCACAGGGGAGCTTCTGGTCCCCAAGGCTTACCTTCCTGCAAAGGAATCATTTAAGAGAATTTAGAAGCATTAGGAAATAATTGAGTACGTTTGAGAGAACAAAGTCATATCATCCCACCCATTTTCTATCAAGAGAGACAGTAAGAATCCTCTCTCTTCAGATCCTTGAAGAGCTGAGCGAGATGTTTGTATTTAAGCTACAGCTTTTGTTCTGTAATTAAACTAAAGCAACACAGCACGAAAAGAACATAGCTGTTTGGGGTGGGGTAGAAGGCCAAAGGTACAGGGGATGTTTCAATCTGATAAGCTGCTGAAGCAAAGTTTAATCATTTTATCTCAGCTGGGAACTGTTTTTCTGTGCAGGCATAAACTTGTTTTCCCAGCAGCCTCCGCTCCCGACAAGCTATCAGATACCTGAGGAAAAACCCAAACCAACATTCTCTCTTTGTCTGATTCTGACAGTGAAATAGTATCAGACTACTCCATACAATGGTCAGAGGCCAGACAATTTGATTCCAGGGCAATTGGAGGCTCCACAGGCTCTCCTTAGTTCAGCAGGGAGCCTTTCTGTGCTCAGTTACCTCCATCTGCATTCCTTTCTCATTCCTGGGGAAGTTGGCACCCGGGCAGCAGTTTGGTTATGTTGCTCTTCCCTATCTTTACACGATCCCTGTCATGTTTCACCGAATTGTTACCTTGCTAGTGTCCTGCTTCTTATCTGGGCGTGAACCTGAAATCTGAAGGCAGTGGGAAAAAAACCACATTAAAAAACAACAACAAACATCTATTAGAACAAAATGGAGACTATAAAATCTACCTGCTTAAAGATTGTAATACATTTCTGAAAAGCTTTAGAGTTGATCAGTTTGAGCATTGAGGACTGATTTTGGTAACTGCCCAAGATGTCTTCTAGCCTTTGATGCTGATGTGGTCCATGCAGGCCTCAGAAGAGGGGCAGAATCCTTCCCTAACCCGAAGAGATTACTCACTGGTGCTCTTTCCAAGATATTAAATCCCATTTTGCAGCTACTGAAATAGTCAACTTAGCAATGCTTTTGTGATCTCATCTCATCTCAGGGTGGCCTCAGACCAACTCATCAACGAACATGAAGATTGCTTAGAAGAGGGGCTGAGATCATTGCGGTCCTTGCATCCAAGATCCTTTTAGGCCAACCATTACTTGCATGTTGACCTCTCTGTTTCATTCCCTACCCTGTCTGTTGCAGAGGATGTGAAACCATATCAAGTTAATGGAGTCAACCCTACCTACCCAGAATCCCGCTATACCTCGGATTACTTCATTAGTAAGTTCACCTTCCGCCGTTCTTCCCTCATCTTGCTCATTATAATGGTAACTTAGGAAAGGTCCCTGTCCCGGTTGAGCTCAGGCTCTGCCGCATGGTAATTCTACAGAGAATGATGTTTTCTTCAGTGTAGACTATCTGTTCCTTACTTTGTTTTTCCCTCAAAGCACAAGGCTTCAACCTATTTCCATGTTTTATTAACCTGCAGGCTCCTACACATGAGGATCTCTCTCTGATATTTTCAGCATGAAAGTCACTCAGAGAGACCACAACTTGATCCCTAAACTGTGATCTCGTTTGATCCTATGCACCGTGGGGGCCATAGAGGTTTGGGTTAGGGGTTTGGTCGTGGCCCTTGTCCTCTCCCTTTTACTAGTGGATATGACAGCATTTCCTCTGAGATGCTTCCTTAAGGAGTGCTTCAGGTTCTGTTACAGGAAATCAAGCCTTCTCCCTCCGAGCCTATGACGCCTAACCATCCTGGAGAGGTGGCCAGAGGAAGAGAGTTAGTGTAGGGCTCTTCTTGTCTGATGGTCTCGCTTCCAGAAGGTCTCTAAAGCAGCTTTGTTTTTATCCTTTTACTTTAGTATGATTTTTATATTCTAACAACAACAATGATATCAACTACTAGGTAGCAGGAGCGTATTGTGTGCCAGAAATGTGGGTAGGTGTTTTACATGTATATTTGCATTTGATTCTCATCACGCTGCTCAGAGCAAGATTACAGTCATACCTATTTTAGAGATGAGGAAATTAAGTCAGAAAAGGGAGGTATCTAGCCAAGGGTCATGGCTATTAAGTTAGCGGAGCAAGGTGAAAAAAACCCAGGCCCTTCTCACTTAAAATAGTTTCCTTTTACTCTCTAAGGTAGTCAGCTTGTTTCACATTGTGGGGCCGTCATAAATGGTGTAGAACTACTTGGTTTAGGTACAAATCTCTCCTTTCTTCAATTGTACACACTCTGTTTCTAGGCTATGGTATCGAGCATGCTCAGTGTGTTCCTCCCTCGGAGTTCTCAGAGCCTAGCTTCATCACAGAGTCCTACCAGACACTCCATCCCATCAGCTCAGAGGAGCTCCTCTCCCTCAAGTATGAGAGCGACTACCCCTCAGTCATTCTCCGGGACCCTCTGCAGACAGACACCTTGCAGACTGACTACTTTGCCATCAAACAAGAAGTTGTAACACCAGACAACATGTGCATGGGGAGGACCAGTCGTGGTAGGTCAGATTTCTTCCCTGGAAGCTCTTGGGTTTCCAAGAATTACCTAACTTTGTGAATTTTTCAGGTCCCATTTCCTCCCCCCCTCCCCTCATTGTTGGCCCTATATATTCCTGAGTTTTAGCCTTTCCATCTTAGAATGTCTAGATATTAAGAACTTGCCATCAGGGAAATTTAGTCAAGTCCTTCAGGATGACAAAGACCATGGGTTCATGGCAGAATTGAAATCTGGCAGGATGACCAAACACATTTCTCATTTGGGTAAAACGTTTTACCAAATAATAACTCTAGTTGAATACGGTTGTTTTTCAAGGTATGCTTTATTTTTTTGAGATGATTTTGCTTAAGGAGAACACAATCAAATATAAATGGCTCAGGTGACCCTTCTGGAAAGCTTTTAGTTTCGCATGTGCCCTGATGTTCCCCAGAGCATTCCTGCGTCAGACTGCAGATCCTGCCTTGGTATCTGAATGACATGTTCTGTTCAGCCTGGGCCCTCCAGCCTTTTGTGACATTTTTGGTTTGGGAAGATACAAGATGGTTAACCAACAGTTTATTTGGAACTAGTCATCAGCATTGTGGCGAAAGAGTGTATTTAGCCAGAGGACTTAGGATAGAGGTGGCCAGAAGCTTCCAAAAGAAGGTACTCTTGTTGACATGGCTATTATGACAATGATAAAATATTCACTGACAGTAAAGTAAATGTTTCAAAATAGAGCTGGTGGACTTTATAAATCAACAAAAGTCAAATACACCCAATTTTTAAGATTAGGACATAAACCTCAGAGGGGCAGTCTGCATAGTAAAGCATGCAGATCGTTTGGTTTTTGAGAGAAGTGCAGTCCATCCTAAGGAGGGGTTTGGTCACCCACGAAGCACTAGCTGATTTCTAAAAAGTTGAAAAAGATGACTGTTCCAATGGATAAAAGGGAAAGAATTGTGACCAGGAAGAGGAGCAGGAGAAAGCCCATCTAAGAGCTCAGAGGGCCTTGTTCACAGCAGTCAGGCTTGGCTAGCCTCCTAGTGACTTCAGCTTGGTGATCACCCAGTTACTTACTCTGAGGCTCATGGAGGGGGGCCCAAAGGCATCTCTACTTTGAAGAATCACCCGTCGGCATCATGGGCTGTATACCTTGTCATCTTCTTCGAGTGTTCAGGTTCACACTTCCTCCCAGCAGGCCTTAGGACAACCAGTGGGCCCTGCATAGGGAAAGTCCCTAGCAAAATCAGAACCGGTAATCTTCCTGCTTCTGGCCCCAGGGTGTTTGTGTTTCAGACTGAAGGGGATGGGTGGGATCAGTTTGCCTTCCCCTTTCTGACTGTGTTTTATTTATTTTTGGGTGCGTATCTATTTAAATACGTACAGAAGTGTGTATGTCCCTATAGCTTTTTTCTTAGGCTGGTCAGAACATTAGAACAACTTTCTCATGGGGCTTTCTGTGTATCTATGAGATGAGGCTGAGCCTGTGGGTTTGGGACTCAGCCATGTTGCAACTTTGGGTAGATCTGCTGTCACATGTTTTTAAATTGCGTCTGGCTTTGCATTTGTGTAATTGCCTCTTCTCCTTCTCCTTCTCTTGGTTCTTGGTTTTGGTCCCCACCACCCTCAAACCCCAAAGTAATAACTGTGGACCAGATAGTGACCTGTACAAAAGGACATGAGGTATTTCTCTCTGGCCTCATTCTCCCTCCCTCACGCCAAGCTTCAGACCACACAGACTTGAGGGGCAGACTGTTTTGTTCATGGCTGCTTTTTGCATGTTCGAAGTGCTGCAAACAGGACATATTTCAAGGGCTGATTGACTCTGACATGGTATGATTGGTCTAGAATGAAAGGATTATTGTTAGCTGATTAATATTAATGATAATAGTGTTCATATACTGCATTACAACATACAAAATGCTTCTCTGCCCCACCTACTTGGACTCTGAGAATGTCTTTGTGCGAGTCTGTTCCGGGGGTTGCTCAACAGGGGGCTACCCCATCTGCTGTTTTGAGTGCTCTGAGGTCTGCTTGGTGACGTCAGTTAGCGTTGGAAGGACCTTGCTGAGACCTTTCTCAGGAAAGCTGACCAAATGGGTGTCTTATAAGACGCATGCTTCACTGCATGAGCACAGGAGCACAAACGAGTGCTAATCTAGTTGGATTCAACCCATTTTTGGAGAAAATGCCCGTAAACGAAGGTTCCCAGCTCCAGGATTGTGAAATAGAGCTAAAATGAAAGCAGCCTACTGCTGTAAACCGCAGCTCCCAACAGAATTGCATTTGGCTCATGTTTGAGAGACTGCCAGAGAGTGGTTATGCCCAGGTTAGTGCCCTTGCTCATTGGGTGTCCTTGGAAATGCAACTGTCTGATTGTGGAAATTCTACTTTCCATGCCCTCCCAATACTATAATGCTGATATGGACTCATTTCAGAGAGGCTTCAGTATAAATAAGTACTGCCTAAGTATCGGTGACTTGGTGGGGTGTTCTTCATGAAAACATAAATTCTCTTTCTCAGGCTTTTGGTGTGTTTATCCCACAGAGAAATTGAATGACCATTAAGATGGATAGCTGGTGTGAGTGGACACTTTTTGTAAGATGCCACAAAATTTCTTGTTCCGTTAGAAAGAGGCTATTGCATTTGGTTGTGGGCTGTTTTCTGGAGTCTTTTAATGTGAATTTCTGGAAGGGACAATTCCTTCATTTTTAATGATAATAAAGAGTTGTGAACATGACAGTGGACTGGGTAGGCAAGGCCGATAACTCCTTCTGGACCTTACCTTTCCATAAGTGGGTGATTGGAGGAAGGACTGAGAAGAAGCAGATAAATAACTGTCTTTCTGGTATACATAAGCAGTATTGGAGAGGATAAGAGGTTCAGGAAATCTACAAAAGTAGATTATAAAAAGTTACATATTTAACTGAATACTTTTTTTTTTTTAAGCTGAGCCATCTCGCCACCTGCTGGCAGCTCAGCTCGGGCTGGGAATCGAACCGGCGACCCTGTTGCTCAGTGCTCAGTGAGCTCTTAACCAATTGAGCCACTCGGCCGGCCCACTGAATACCTTTTAACTGGTTTTTTTTTTCGGGGGGGTGTTGAGGTGGGGAGCAACATGTCTTCCTAATTACTATATATTCAATTTTGGTTGGGACACCAGTATTAAATTTTGACTTTCATTGTTTTAACCAATCGCTATTGAGAAAGAGGAGAATACACCAAAAACATACTAGTATTGGGTTGTATTGGCCAACCTTACTCTGGGATTTAAACTTTATAGTAAATCAGCTACTCCTGTAGAGTTGAGAGTTGAATTATGGGTATTTCTATATACAGATTTGTCACATCCTTTGCCTCATGACTTGTGCTGAATTGAAGTGGCCATTTAGTCACCCAGGATTTAATTTAGGTTGCCTAAAAAGTATCTGAAAGTAGAACATAGAATATATTACTGTGAGCCTTTTCAGCTTAGATACATTTTCCTCCAAAATTTTTGTTTGTTAGCTTCCTTTTTAATGGCATTTTTTGCCAGTGGAAATTTCTCTTGGAGCTATTATGCAATGATAGCAGCTGTTTATAACCTGGTTTGGGAAATTAATGAACTTGCATGATCTTGTGGTCAGTTAAGAATGCCTTAAGCAACTCAGAGTAAAGGATTTCTGACATTGCTGTGGTCCTTAACTCTTTCATCAACTCCCTTATTTTATATGGCCTACATTTCCCCATTGAAGAATAAGTTTCAAGTACAAAATTGAACATGGACAGGATAAACAGTATGGATTTCGGCTTACAAGAGGGATAATGTTTTTTTTTTAATCTCCTGGAAACAGCATCTCATAACTTCTTTCTCTATTTGACAAGACGTAGAGGCAGTACATGTATTTCATTTTAAAATAGTATTTGGAAAAAAAATGCTAAAAAATAACACTTTAGTTCCAAGGTCAAGGAAGGTCAATCTGCTCTTAGTCTAGTGGAATTTTTTTTTTCCTATGACTAAAATATTTTGCCAAATTGGGCCTTTTGAAATCATCTCATTGGGTTCAGTTGGAATAGGGAATTGAGCCTGATACTGTTCGGATTTCTTCATCTATTCGTTGGGTCTCATACATCAGCCAGAAATCCCACAACACCATGTGTGATTCTTAGCTTTTAGATTTCTGGCTCTAGGATTCTTGAGTTCCCAAGCACTGCTGTCTCCCTCTGACAGGCCTGAGCAGCGTTTGCCTCTGCATCTCTGTCCTAGGAGCTGTAGCACAGACAGCGCAGGGCAATGGGCTCTCAGACTGTGGCCCATGCAGCCCCTCCTCCCCAGAGTAAACCCAGCAGCTTGCATGCCCACTGGCCTCTCCCTTCTTCCGTCTCTCCCGAGGATCTGATGAGCAGTCTGGCCTCACTAAGAGGGTTTTTACAGTTGTCTTTTCCCAATCCCTCCTCCCCTGCCCTCTTCCTACCTCCTCCTTTACCTCCAGGTAAACTCGGGGGCCAGGACTCTTTTGAGAGCATAGAGAGCTACGATAGTTGTGATCGCCTCACCCAGTCCTGGAGCAGCCAGTCATCTTTCAACAGCCTGCAGCGTGTTCCTTCCTATGACAGCTTCGACTCCGAGGACTATCCAGCCGCCCTGCCAAACCACAAGCCCAAGGGCACCTTCAAGGACTATGTGCGTGACCGTGCTGACCTCAACAAGGACAAGCCTGTCATTCCTGCTGCTGCCCTGGCTGGCTACACAGGTAGGCGCCTGCCCCTACCTCTGTAGCCTCTGTGCGTGCGTTGCTGTGGGTGGGCTCAGTGGAAGGCACTGCGCGCAAATTCCCAGAGACTGGAGTCTGCCCCTTTCTTTTTGCGGGGACTGGGGAGAAGAAGACTGTAAGAGGTCTGGTTCATCTCTCAAGCCACTCTGTGAATAGCCATTGGTTGTTGGAAGCAAACAGTTCGTTCTGTCCCAAGGGATCATTTCCAAGAGTGGTAGGGAAAGCTTATATTTTGGACATTTTTCCATATCTGGGAGAAAGGAACTATATTAACTTGGTGTTTCTGGAAACTCTGCCTAGTGGTCGAGCATCAAGGGACTTTTTCTAGCCTGCTCTTGGGAGGTCTTTCTAAACACAAAACAAGCAACAGCATTTCTCAAAGGCATCACTGAATGGCCTACACTCTGGCCTCTTCTGTAGTGGAGTGAGCATTAGGCTGGCTGATGAAATGACAAAAGTGTCCTTGGTCACCCTAAACTCTGTCAGATCCTGGCCTATGTAGGAAGCACTTTCCCTCAATGAGCTTTATTATTGATTTTCTTCCGGGAGCAAAAGTTGCAGTAGTAGTGAATAAAGAAAGACTGTAGAGAAAGGAAGAGGTGTGCTGAGAGCTTAAGCTTTGACTGAGAATCCGGTAATAGAGCAAAACAATTCATTGTCCACATGAGCTGTAGTGCATATGCTGCTTAACCCTGGAAATGTTTGAAGAGTGTATCTCTGAGCAATATCCAAGGAGCATTATTGTGTTAATTTCCAGATCCTTTCTGTAAGGCTGTAGGGTTTTCTAAAAAGTAGAAATTGTGTTGTGAGTGGAGCTTATTTTAAGCTTTGATTCCTCACCTTTGGTCTAGGCCCTTGATTTGCTTGTAACTTATTCCACCCTGGACAGGTTGCCATGTGGGGACCCTATGTGCGGATGACGATAAACAGAAAAAAATCTGTGTTTCCATGGAGGTATCTGTTGGATCTGAAGAGTGTGCTACATCTGTATTCTTGTGTCAGGGAAGTCTCAGGTTTTTACTGGAAAAACAAGCAGCTGACCTTTGAGAACAACTCAAATGCTTAGAAAAATTACTCCTTGTTCAAAGATCAGGAGTGTGTTTTTTTATGTTGCAGTCCACGCGGCTCCTAGTGCAGTTCAGAGCATGCATAGGCTCTCAGGAATTATGTCTGTGTTTTGAGGCAGTGACAAGATCTGTATCTATAGTCATGGGCCAGAAAGGAGGAACTTAAACATCCACCACTCTGTTCTTTCTACACTAGCCCCCATGGTGTATGCTTCAACATCACTCGTATGTGGGAACTTGCTACTTGTGAAGGGACCCCTTGTCACCTCTGCAGAGCAGACTATTAGAAAGTTTGACCATGTCCATTAGTGACATCTGGAATGAGGAAAAGTAAATGAAGTCTCTTTCAAGATGTACAAAAGAGTGCTGGCTCCTATAGTTATAAGTATACTGGTAGGTATTTTAAGAACTGGATTCCAGTTGGATACAATGATGGAGGGGAGAAATGTTGTTTAATTTAGGAAGAGGAAGGAAAGGTTGAGGTGGCTGTAAGATGACTCTGTGGGCTCTAGAGGTGGCAGGTATCTCTAACTGGGCATGCCTGCTTCTGTTCGTGGGGTGCAGGGAAAGCTATGCTCTCATTTGCCTAACTTCCAGTACCAAATCCTAAGCTTAGTTTCTCCCTGTTAAAGGTATTTCTTTGTTCTCTCTGGCATAATCACCACTATAACCACCATTCACATCCACAACCATAATTCTTTTCCCATGACAGTTTTCATCATTCTCTTTTATCTACATATATGATTTTGTCAATTTTGCTAGTTAGGGCAGTTGTGGATAATGAGATTAAATAAACTGACTTTAAATCCTAAAGTTTGAGTGATGGCCAAAGAAAGCCTTATGATTTAGGTCAACCTTCACGGTATGAGATTCTGATAAGGATCCATGGCGACACTGCAAAAGATGTGGAAGTTTCTAGAAATGGTGAAAGCCTGATTTCCAGCTCAAATAGAAACTCCTCTGAAAGTGTTGCATGTGTTAGTTATTGGATTTTCTACATAAGAGAAGCCTGCAGAGCTAATAGTCTACAAGAGTGACTTAAAGGGTTTTGTCTAAGATGCTTTTAGTACCTTGACGAGAATTATCTGAGAGTTGGGGTATCTTTTCAAGTGTCCCATTTTCAATGAGAGAAGGAAAGGGATGAATTGGAAATTCTAAGGACTAAGAATGAACATGAAGTACAAATTAGAGACATGAATGTCCGTCAAGATAGCCAAAATCAAAATCAAAATCAAAAGGGGATTCTCAGGAAATTCAAACTCAGAGACAACCAGATAAAGGCATCAAAAGTCCTTTTAGCACAAATACATGTATGTCCTGGAGGTCTGAGTTATGTTTGCTCCCTTATTTTGATACACTATTTTTAATAGGCACGTCTTCCTCCCTTCCTCTCTTCCTCCCTCCCTCCTTCCCTCCCTTCCTTCCTTCCTTCCTTCCTTCCTTCCTTCCTTCCTTCCTTCCTTCTTTCTTTTCTCCCTCCCTCCCTCCCTCCCTCCCTCTCTTAGAATAAAGCAGTCAGTGAGTAGGAGAAAAGGAGAGTGACTATTAATTACAGGTCTCAAAGACTAAAGTAGTCATTTGAATTAAAAAACATTTTTAAAACTGGGTGCGTCTTATACAGTGGTTGTAGATTTTTTTTTTTACTTGCATTTCCCGCAAAGTGATGGGGAGTTGTATGAATTTTATGATGAATAAAACTTGAGTTCCATAACTTTATGTAATACTGTTTTTTCAAATTTCAGGCCCCCAAATTAAGATGCGCCTTATACATGGGAGCGTCTTATACCTGGGGAAATACGGTACATATCTCAAATTATGTTATAATCTGAAACTAATATAATATTATGTCAGTTACATATCAACAAGAAATGTACACTCAATGGTTGAGGTTAAATAAAATAATTTTTACTGTTTCATCAAGAAAAAAAACCCCCAAAAACCACATTTTTAAGGATCTTGCCATTCAGTTGTTTCTTCCTTGTAATTGTGGATTTAACTTCTCATACTATCTCAAATGGTGGTGAGAACAGTAGCCCAGAAAACAGAAGTCCTCAGCGCTCCCTCCCAACTCTAACACACTGTGTGATTTTAGGCAAATTCATCTTGTACCCCTTTCTACTTTTAGTGAAGTAGAAGTGTTCATCCTTATCTTGGTGGTAGGAGATCTGTGAAAATATAATTGAACTGAATCAATTAATTAAACAAATGAGTGCTAGACATTGTGCGAGACATAGGGGGGGAAAGCTCAATTGTAACCAATCAATTATTTCAGCAAATGTTTCCAAGTACATGTTGAGTGCAGATAAGGGCTAGTAGCTTTTAAGGGTTCACTGTCTTGTCAAGTTCAATATATTGTAATTGTTTTTCAACTTGAGTTGGGTTTTCTTATGGCCGTGGTCTGAACGAAGCTCAGGTTTGTTAGGCCTGTGGGGGGGAGGGCGAGTAAATACAAATTCAATGGCTTTTTTCCTCAGCTTAATGGCTGGTGAACACCTGCTCATACTGCAAACTGATTCTAGATGGTGGTTCCTTGCTCTTGCACCCTCACTGTGGCCCCTTCTCGTTTCAGATACATCCTAGGGAGCAGGGAAGTGGGTGGCACATACCCCCCTCCACTGCCTGAGGAGCAGGAGGTGTCTGGAATCCCTACAAATAGGTCACTGTCTTTATCCAGACATGTTAAGATAAGCCGAGTTTGGAAAAGTACTTTGGAAAGTGGAAATTATTGTATAAGTGCTGGCAAAATGTTGTATTGCTCATAAAAGTCACACCTTTTTTCTGTCTCAAGTTCTGCCTTCCTTTTTGTTTGTTCCCTTAAAATTCGATTGCTCCAGAGTATGGGTGGCCACGCGGTAGCAGCACTTGTACCCTTAGTCACTGTTACTTGGTGTATGCCTAGATTCTCTGAGCGAGGAACAGAATCCATTTTCCTGCCATTACACTAGATATCTAGGTCTTTATCCATATTCCCTTCAAAGGAGTACATTTTACTTCTTCATGTGATATGTTAGTTACTGCACTGTAAGTGTGGAAATCAGTTAGAAACTGAATTTTCACATTCTCTTGCACAGTTACATTCTTCCTCCAAAGATAAGAAAATTGCATCAACTTTCGACTGGGCTCCCATGGCAACTTGTTAAATTAGGTCAAGATGTGGAGGCAGATAACATGACTTGAAAGCCTGCCTGTGAGCTGAGTTAAGAATACATCAAATGTAATTTGGCTTCCGCCAAAATGTACCTTCTTACCTTACTGTGAACTGCTTACGGTTATCAAACTGATACAATCAGAAAGCTCCATTTTCTCTTGTTCGAAGATACATGATGAACCCCACCTAATTAACAAAACAATCTGAGATGAGTGGCCCTGTGTTTTCTATGTATTTGATAGACCTAAGCAAAATGCTTTCCAGAGTCTTGAAAAAGATAGGCATCTCTTGATTTTTTTTTGTTTTTTCAGTTTCAGTAGGCATAGAATAATATACTACATTGTCAGTTAGTATTCTCTTTTCCTCTGTCCCTCCAGCCCCATTTTATAGGTGGTGAAACTGAGTCACAAAAATGACTTAGTCAAGGCCACCTAATTGCAGTCTGCACAGAAGGTAACTCCTGAACTGAATCATAAGTGCAAGATGTCTCACCTGCATACAAAATCTTCCCCTATATTAAGGAATGGCAAAACTCATTGGTTATCTCAGTTGCCTCTCCCTACAGCAGATTAGAGGCCTTGCCTCCTGCTGGCCACTGATTAACAATGTATGTGTATGAGTGAGAGGAATGGGGGTGGGCAGGGCTAGCCTTTGGCTTCAGTCCAGAGTTATTGGTCTGTAAACCACCTCTATCCAACTTCATTCCGAATTTGGCAGACATTGCCACCGATAAGGAATCCATTTGTATCACTCCTATGATTGTTATTGAGCTATCTGGTGGGAATGCTCTTGTCAATATCCAGGTGTATCCTGACCCTTTGAGTTGCAATTGTGGATGGAGTGGTTTGGGTCTCTTTTTTTGTCCTGGAGCCTGAACAAAGCTAAGCCCAAAGCCATTCATTAACTGTAACGTAATTATGTTTTATAGTGCTGTGCTGACTTACAACTAAGATAGTCCCTCAGTTTCCTAACGGCTAAATTGGGAACTATCCTGAATTCAACTTCCAAATATTTTGGGATGAGACATCACAGAAAAATGGTACCAGTCTTGTAAAAAGAGAAGCCCCATATATTTCCTTGTAGGTCCTCTCAAATTGCTTCAGGCCTGAAATAAATCTTCTTTTTGCCATTTCATAGATGGCACTAGAGCCAGTCTAAAGTCAAACAATAAGAAAGCCCCTACAAGGCCCAAACCTGGGAGTTCAGGCTTGTAGTTGAGTTTTAGCGGTCAGTAACCCAAAGCTACTGCTGAAACATGTTCTCGAAAATCAACAACTTTATTGTAAAAGGAAGTGCTTTAGAGCCTTTCAATTCAGAATAAAACCTGAGATTTGGCAGCATTACCTGAAATCATAGTTTTGTGAGGGAAAGCTGGATTGCAAAATAATCCGAATATACTGGGGCATAAAAGACAACTGAGGAACTTTGGCCATGAGCCTGCATTGCTGATAAGGAGGAGGAGAGGGGTCACCAAAGCAAATTAGTACTGCAGCATGACTTTGTCCAGAAGATTGAAAAAATGTTAAACCCAAGTGGGTGTGTTATTAGGAACAGTGTAGAGCTTTTTAATTTGGGGGTTTATTCCCTGAGCCAAGTTCTGGAATATAGTCTCTCCATATAGATGCTGTCAGTAGAAGGCAGTTTGAATTGACCTAAGTTGAGAAGAACCAACTTGTTGATGTGAGCATAGCACTCGGGTGCCCAGTGTGTGCAGTAGCCGCCTTTTATAGGGGCCCTGAGCGCCTCGGGTCAGGCAAAGCTGGAGCTGGCTGGAGGGCTTGCAGGAAGCCATCACAGCCCCAGTGGAGCGCATCCTTGGGCAGCGCCTGCATGGACAAGAGGAAAAGGCTCCAAAATGAGAAAGGCAGCAGCAGAAAGTGTCTTCCCCTTTCTGGCTCAGAGGCCCCTGTGCTGGTTATTATTAGCAGGTTGCAGGAAGCCAGAAAGACCCCCTCAGCCCAAGTGGAGCCCTGCTGCCAGCCAGCATCTCAGGAACTGGAGGGATTCTGATCCTCTGTGCTGTGGAGGCGGGGCATGGAATGGATTTGGCAATCTCACTGGAGAAACGCTGCTCAGTGGTGAGGCTGATGGGAAACCACTTTGGAGCGCGGGGGAGGTAAACTGGGAACATCTGAGCTGGATGGGAGGAGAAGTCCTTTTCTGTTGCCTGCATGGCAGTTTCACTGCTTTTGGCTCCTAACTGTGTGACATTGTGACAGTTTTTCATAATCATCTGCCACCGGTAGAAAAAGATCATGTGTTAGGAGTATTTGGCGTCACTATTAATTTTTTTCTTCTTCTTCTAAATGTCTTTTAAAAACGTGGAAAAGTGCAGGTTCCCTGTTTCCGTCTGTTGCCTTTGAAAGCCACCATTGGCTCAATCATCCGAGTGTCTTGCTTGATTCAGCTATAGATTCAGCTACCTTGCAAGCTGTCTTTGGGGCAGGAGAGACCCATTTATACCCCATAAAATATATCTCAAACCCTGGTGCTCCGTGGGAGCCTGGACTTTGGGTGGCAGGAATCTCACAAGTTTTCCCATCTTTTCTGAGTACAGCCCCGCTGCCTGTTTTAGAGGAGTCTAGAATTCCACTCCCTCTCCACTTTGAAGCTTCATCTTTTTGTCTTTGAAGTGAAATGTTTCCACTGAGCAAAATTCAGCCAGGACACTGCTGAGGCATCCCCGCCAGTCCTTGCTTTGCTGCCTTTCACACCCTATGGCTCCCACTGGGAAAGGCCCCGCCAGAGGCCCAGGATGTTCCTGTTGCTTGTGCCCTTGGGCACCCTCTCTTTTCCCTGGTGGCCTTGGCTGCTCTGGAGAAGGAGCAGTGGTTCCTCAGTGTTGTCGATTCAACACAAGCTCTACACCTGCCTGTTCTTCCTAAAGTGGCTTTCACGTGACGCCTGCAGGGTGGTTGCTTATCTGTGCCCAGTTTGCCTTCAGATTAAGTCCAGGTTAAGACACGAGAGGGCAGCCACCCCATGCTGTTTAACTCCTGGTTCCATTTCAGGGGTTTTATCATATAGGGGTTAAGAGCATGGACTCGAGAGCCAGTCAGCCTGAATGTGTCCTGGCTTTGCCACTGACCAGCTGTGTGATTTTGGACCAGCTAACGTCTTTGTGATTCAGTTTTCTCATCTGCCAAATGGTGATAATAATAGTTCCCATCTCATAAGATTGTTGTAACAATGAAATGAATGAGTGTATGGAAAGCACCCAGAATAGTGCTGTGACATAGGAGGTGTTCTCTAGGTGCTAGCTGTTACCACTCTTACGTATTATTCTCCAAACTTTTGTCTTTCCAATATAATTCTACATGTCTTGAAGTCAGGAAACAATATATTTTACTTATAGAATTCCAGTAATTGCTGGCAGTGTCTTGGGGCACAGCAGATCCTCCAGTCAGAGTTGCCCAGTGGAGATGCCCCTGTCTCACAGGAAGGGCCTCGTGCACCCACCAGGCTTGGTCCCTGGCTGGAGCAGCTCCTAGGAAGTGTGGCCTTGGTGGGGACATGGTGGATTCACTCAGTTTTGCTGCATACAGCAAGAGACCTGAGCAGCACGCTGTCATGGCTGCCGGAGGCTATCTGACCCCCACACCAGACCTGACTGAAAAACGTGGGTTTTCAGATAGGCCAGCACAGCTTTTCGGTCTGGCTAGTTGTACAGCAGGACTCAAGACCACGGTCAATCCCAGTGCTCTTGGTGGCCCATGATAGGCTTCAGAGATCTGCATATTGTTGACTATGACTAACCAACTGCATTGTCTTCTGTGTGACTCACCTCTCCCTGAGAGATAATGAGAGTGAAAGTTCTCCTAAGGTGAGTGAATGTGAAAGTTTAAACTCTGAAATGTGGATGGGACTTGCTTTGCTGGAAAGGTACTCATAGGGCATGGCTCTGTGGAGGTGTTTGAACTTCAGAGCCGAGGTGGGCATGGTTTCTTGTGAAGGCCCCTCAAGGCTAGGTTCTCAGTCCTGTCTTCTTTAAAAGTGTAGGTTAGGACATTTTCAGCTCCCCATGTGAAGGTGGAACAAAAAAGCATTTCTTCTGCTACGGCCATGCTGTTGTTAATATTCTGTTTTGTTATTCAACCCAATCTGGCTACAATGCCTGACATTTGAGGGGTGGTCAGAAGTTATTTGCTGGATAAATGCTTTAAAAATTCAGTGCTCAAATGATTACTAGGATTTAGTTCACCTCTCCAGGAATTGTAAGATGCTTAAGCAGTCATTCTCTCATCTTTGAGATACAGGGGAAACTTTACCCCTTAGATAAAATAAATTCCAGAGATGGCATTGAGAGTCTACTGAGGAAAAGGCCCTGGCTTTGGATTTCTCAAGTCTTATTTTTAATCCTCATTAGTGAAAACATCTTCTTCTTGTTATCTAGATATGTAGGAAGACATTTTCTTTAGGCATTTACACTGGTTAGAAAAAAGCATTTCTTTGGTGTCTAACAAAATTCTTACCCTGCACCCTCAAATCCAAACCAAACTCATTTCTGGTGACTTCTTAAAAGAATCAGTTACCTAGAAGACATCAGGGGGGGAAAAAAAACTCTAAGGAAACCCACTTCCTGACTTGAGCTTCACCGGCTCGCTTTCCAAGTCTGTGTCTGAGCGGTAGGTTGAACATGGTTAGACAGAGTTCTTGGGTTTAGAGGAAAGAGGCGGCAGCATTTGAATATAGGCTGTCCCTTTAAGAGAGGAGTGCTCCTCTTTCGCCGGCAGCCACCCCCACACATGTGGACTTGAACACATGCAGGTGTGAGGAGCCCGAGCGAAAACAAGGGTCTTTTCTCCATACACTACAGTGTGTAACTGTCATATTCTGAGGCCCAAGGCAGACTCCCAATGAACCTCACTTACATCTGTCCCAGGTGGGGCCGCCCAGCCGGCCTGTGGCCAGCCAACTGGGCTTGCTGCCAGCCTGCCTTAGACATTGATGGCGAGACAAGACTTTCTGCTTCACCTTCAGCTAATGCTGATGGGATCTAACGTCCGGGCCAAATGACTGACATGTGTGGGCAACGCTGCTGAACTCTCTAGGTCAGCCCTCCATCATAATTAGGTAGAGCGTGCTTGGTGAGGAGCATAAATGATTAGGGAAAAAAAGCGCTTCGGGGGAGAAAGAGGATCTGGGTCTGTCTGTGGCGAAGATTTCCCCAAACCGTAAATGTCTGTGGTACTTTCACTTGCAAAGCAGCTTGCATCTGCTCTATCTTTCTGTGCCTACCTACTTTGAATTAGAGCAAGCACTTCTTCACCGAGTTATCCCTAACTTTATAAAACATCTTCACTGGTAGCCTCACCTACGATATGGAAAGCATCTCACATTTATATACGTTCATCTTTTTTTTCCCCCCCTTTTGCCTCCAACTTTCTCCTCTTTCAATGTTGCCATATAAAAGGCCAATTTAATTCTTGGAAGAATAATTTAATCTAGTGCTTTTGCCATGTTCTTTTCAATGCCATCTTTTTTTCCTTGTCTTTCTTTGAAAAGTCTGCTTTGAAAAATGTTTTTCTGGTGTTTCATTGTTGTATTTTATATTGTTCCCAATTTGTTATAAAGTAAGAAGGAGCAGGGGTTACTATTTGCATTTTAGGGATGGGAAAACTGAAGCCCAGCGAGGTGAAATGAGTTGCCTGAGATCACACAGTGAATCAGGGAGGAATTTGGATCAAAACCCTGGACCCTTGACTCCCCGTGTTGGCCTTTCCCACAGGCATATACATATTTTAATTTTATAGGATATTGTCTGCTGTCATCAGTCCTCCATTGCTTTACATGCTTTATTATTTTTTTTAATGCTTTCTCCTTTCTTTTGGTCTCACCTGTCAGCAACATGCAGCTGATATCAAAGGCTGGTTTTAATTGATTGGAGAGATGTTTTCTAACTTGTTTCCATTGTTAGGTACTGGCTATTTCAACATTTAAATAAATGCAAGTTCATGAAGGTATCGTCCATCACTATGTGTTTCAGTCACCTGTTAGAATGTTTTTTGTGATTCTGAGTTGAAATATTAGAACCTATATCCCCAGTTGCTGCCCTTGGGTTACTAGCCATTGATACAGGAACATAGGTATAGAACATGTTGACTTAACAGTGATTTTATTAAACCAAGGCCTTGGTGGCTCGTTATAGAATGTACCATACATGGATCATGTTGGAGATGAGATGAGATTGGATCAGGGTAGGGGCAAAGGTAGGGCATAACTGAAAAGAGATAGGAAGAGGCACCTATGGGTGCACAAAGCCAAGCCAAAATATCAAGCAGCCCCTATTGTTTTCTTTTAAAAATCTTCCCAGTGCTTTGGTTGTCAAACAATCCAGCAATATTATCTCTTGAATTTTTCATTCTCAGGCAGAACACTTGTGCAGCTTCAGGTTGAGTTTGGTCTATAGGCAAAAAACTGTCAGGATGTTTTCTCTTTAATGTGTCATTAAACTGCATTTCATAAAGACTTAAGGGAAATAGAGAGGTTTTGGAATTTTTTGTGAATGATAATTTAGAAGGGGGTTAACATAAAGGAGGTGAAGCTTAGATTCTGGGGTCACCCACTCCACCCCGGGAGGTGGGGGGCTCCTATAGTAGTATGAAAGAAAGATACACTTATGAACAGATGGGTCATTTCTGGATTTGAGTGTTCTGTTTTTGCCATCATCGTTTGGCTGTGGGTAGAGACACCTGGGTGGAAGGGAGGGGCCAGTCAGGCGCGTTCGTCTGTTTTAGGAACACCTGGCAGATGTGTGCTATTAGGGCAGAGTCAGCCCTGTTGCAAGGGTGACCAACCATGAGAGTTTCATAGGTTAAAATAAACGTGGTGTCCTGCCCACACTAAGGTATTTGATTTGACTTTTAGCGTCAAGCTAAAGAGAATAGCTTCTCTAAGTAGCAAATCAATCCCCAAAGGACAGGAGGTGTGGTCATTTTTATTTTGGGGAGCATGTTGATGAAACATAGCCTGGGAGTCACCCATACTGTTTGGTCCCAAATATAGTTGAAGAGAGAGAAGCAGTTTGGGGAGCTTTTTAAATCCTTACACCTTTCTTCAGAGGAGGATTGTTTTTAGT